ACAGTGTGGTGAGATAATGAGATGTCCAGTAATATGTAGCAAAGAGTAAAATAAGGGCATTACCAAGAGAGATGAAGAAAACATAGCAGATTTTTTTTTTTAGGGAGATTTTTGCAATAGGGCATGTGTGGTCTCTGGAGACACAGAAAGAGATAGACAGAGAGCGAGAAATCACTCTCCCGGGAAAGTGGCCATGTTGCAATCCTTTCTTCTCCATTCTACTCTTGGGACTTTGGGTCCACACACACACACACACACACTCCCAAAGGGTTTTAAGTGGCTGAGTTCTGGACTCAAACCATGGCCCACTACATGGGAGTCCAGCAATGTAATTATTATGCCATATGTTGGTCCCTGGAAGAGATATTTAAGCCTGTTATTCCCAACTCCCATGCTAGAAGTCCCTGAGGTGTTCAGAGAACTATTAATTGGAAGAATTGATTGCTTCATCTAGATTATTTTTAAAAATGCAATAGGGAAAAGAATTGAACTTTATAAACACAAGCAGATTTTTCCTCACTTAAATTCTTGGATGCCTGTAGCTTTCCCTGCTTCTTTAAAGGTAGGGCAGCCTATTTTGTGTGTGTTAGAAACTAGGCAAAGTATAAGTATTTATACTTGAAATTCACATATGTATTTGGTAGAAATGAGTGCACAGTTAGTATGGTGGTCTCAACTGGGCTTAACTGAGGTATATATCATGCTGGGTAAAGTCTCTTCACAATGTAAATGATGTATAATGATTTAATGTATGAATAAAAATATATAAATTAAATATATGTATTTATATGTGTATGTATATATGTATACGCATGCATATGTGCATGTAATAAATATATATGTGTATGTATATTATATATGTATATTATATACATATATATAAAAGAAATGAGTGACTACATAGAAAAGCGTATGTATGTAGTACCAGTGCACGTAAACTAAGATTTGTATTCCTCCCAAAAATTAAACAAAGTGGAAGAAGAAACTAAAATTTCTCGTGATGACTTCATATACTTTACCCATTGTCAGATTTTTGTGACTTTTATTTCTCAAAGAATGTCGTTGCAACAACATTTTCAAAGTTAGAAAACAAAAACTTCATAAAGCTAATTAAATTGTCCACAATTTTCGAGGTAATCTGCAGCACAGCTGTAAGTTTTTAACTCAAATCTGTCAAGTTCCAAAATCTTTGAGTTGATTTCGAGTTTGAAGTGAATGCCAGGACTAAGAGATTTTTTTTAGAAAGATGTTTGCTATAAGACACACGTGCTCACTGGAGAGAGAGAGAAAGACGGAGAGACAGAAAACAAGATATCATCCCCCAGAGAGGATGGCTATGCAAAACTCCCTTCTCATTCAATATCTCAGGATCTTGGGCATGCATGCACATGTGCCTGGCATGATTTTAAGCCTCTAGGTTTAGACCCTTTTGAAGAACAATGCATATCTCACCTAAGGTCATTAGTATGTAGAAGACTACAACATGATGCTTCAGTTTTCTCCAGAGGGAGAAAAGGTAAAGAGAACAAGCCACCCAACTACCCAACACTCATGAAAGTATATTCAAACACTGAGGCAATTAAAAACTATACACGCACACACATACACATATATATACATACGTGTGTGTGTATATATATATATATATGTGTGTGTGTGTGTGTGTGTGTGTTATGTGTCTGTGTATGTGTACATACCCACAGCATGAATAGTCAGGGAGACTTTACACACATAGTTAGAATCAGATCACAAAGTCAAATCATTGCCCTTTCAAAGATGATGAGACCTATTATACAAAAACGTTTTAGTTTTGCAATCATCTTAATGTGTGCATTAGGCAAAGATGAACCTAGAGTTTAGAGTTTTGTTTGATATGAGGAGCCAGCAAAAGGTGAATGACTCAGAAGAATAAGTAGAGAAAAATAGGAAGTTCTTGGGGTCATTTTAGGAGAGAAGTGGTAGAAGTAAAAACATAGAACACTGGGGTGAAATAAGAGAAACTAGAAAGAATTATGAAGCCAGGAATTAGGTACAATAAATGAGCTAGTGAAAAAACATTCATGGTTAGTGTGCAGGTGGATAGTTTAAAGAAAACATTTTTACTATTTTACTTTTTATTCGTTTTGCAACTAATATCTGTGTTTTACTCATCTTCCATAGCATGACAATATTATGTGAATTGTGTTTCCTCTTGTTTGTATATCATTTGCAAACATTCTGGATGCTTAAGTGGGATGAAATGAATGGACAGCAATTTTAAGGTCTCAAGAGGCTGATATTGGAGTTATCTAACTATTATAATCACAATTTTTTTTTTGAGAGGTTTTTGCTATAGGGCATGTGCACTCGCCAGCAAGACAGAGAGAGACAGAGAGACAGAAAGCGAGAAATCACCCCCCCCAGGAAGGATGGCCACGCCGCAATCTCCATTCTCCTCTTGGGATCTTGGGCACGCACGCACATGCGCCCGATGTGAGTTTTAAGCCACCGGGTCCAGGACGCGAACCGCGGTCAACTACATGGGGGTCCAGTGACATAGCCATTACGCTAACTGCTGGTCTCTGTCATAACAATTTTTAAGTCATATCATAGTCCTTGATCATAACCTCTGAGGGATTAAATTGTAAGTAATAACTACCACTTCATACGGTTTTTGTCTTACATAACTGTGAGACTTACAGTGATCTTCAAGTCTGATCCTAGAGTGTTTGTGTTAGCTAACTAAAAGGTTAAAGTCCTTTGAGAGGAAAACCAAACAATAGTCACTTAAACAATTTAGATATTTATTTCTCATTCATATAAAATTCCGTGCTGATATATCAGTTCAGCTCTGCCAGGCTTTTAGGATTCACTTTTGCATTTCTGCTGTCTATAAAGAGTTTCTCTCGTCTCTCTGATCCAGGATGGCTCAGCACAGCATCCACATTACAGTTAGTAGGAGGCAGTAAGGAGGAAGAAGAAAGCAAGCCTATGTTACAGAGATGGGCGAAACTCTCCGCTTTTCTTTTTTATTATTATTTATTTTTTTATTATCATCATAATCTTGTTTATAGTACATTGTATTACATATAACTTTACAGTGTATTACATTACTTTTTCAAAAGGGAATGCCTTGCATGTCAGTCAACACAGAGACATTAATCTCCCGACTTCATCATTCACTATCTTTTCATTGTTTTTCCCAATCATTATTATTATTATTCCAATTATTTTTTAAAACAGTCAATCACTATTTCTCACTTTTCTTGTAAAAAGACTTTACCCATCATGAAATACTTCTCAGACCAATCCAGTTGAAAATACTATACATGTCATCAACAACAGGTAATAAGCCATATCTGTTTCCCACTAATGTCCTGCCTCCCTATTTGTTCTCTTGCTATCTTTCTCTATCCTCTTCTCTTCACCCCCCCCATTCCACACTGTCTTATTCTCGCTAAATACTTTCACTGCATTTATGTCCTCCAATATTTCGCTCTCTACCATAGAGTGCGGATAGTCAGTATGTATTAAGTGGATACATACAATATCTTTCTTTCATAACCTGACTTACTTACTCAGCAATAGATCCTCCATATCTGACCACTTTCTATCAAATGCCAGGGTCTTGTTATTTTATATGGCTGCATAACTCTCCACTTCTCTTTGACCACATTCTCTGGGATAAAATCTATTCTGTGGAAGCAGCAAATTGAGTTTGAGAAAAATGTAAACCTACAATTATTTCTTTTTTTTTCTTTTTTTGGAGAGGTTTTTGCTATAGGGCGTGTGAGCTCACCAGACAGACAGAGACAGAGAGACAGAAAGCGAGAAATCACCACCCAGGGAGGATGGACACGCTGCAACCCCTTATCCTCCATTCTCCTCTCGGGATCTTGGGCACACACACACACACCCCCAGTGTGAGTTTAAGCTACCTGGTCCGGGACTCGAACCATGGTCAACTACATGGGGGTCCAGCAACATAGCCATTACATTAACTGCTGGTCCCAAGTTACAACTATTTGTTTTTTTTGACTTTCCTTATTATTATTATTATTTTTTTTTATGTTATAACTTTCCTGTAAAGACCAGCTCTCACTCTGAGGCACAAGCATTTGTGTAGTTAGGGAGAGGCGCCCAGGCTCTGTCAAATCCATGTGTGGTCTGAATGTTCGCCCTTCAATCTCAGGTGTAAGAATTTTAGACTAACCTGCTGGACTAAGTCATTGCTGTACTCTAATTCAGGGCTGATACTCTGAATAGTTAGTTTTTCCACAGTTCATTAAGTTAATTGGAAGAATGGTAGAAGACTTTCTAAAATATTTCAAGTAACATTTGGAATTGTCCAATATTTAGAATATTTCTTTTTTTACCCACATTTTCCCAAAATAGCAGTTACTCATTCTAAAATAAGATGTTCTGAGTTCTTTTATCACACGGAATAATGAACTAAGAAATATCTTTAACTTAGCACTTAATACTCTTATGCAAAGAACCTAATGAGTTTTGTCTAGTATTGCCTAGGAAGAGGTGATTATTAAAAGGAAAAACAAATCTTCTGATACATGGATCTACCTAAGTAGCCAGGAATATTAATTTAAACAAGCAGTGAGTATTTTGGGGGGAAGGGGAGTACTTACTGGCAAATCTAAGAAAATATCTTTGTTAAGTTAAGAAATTAAATGTAAAAAAAGAGACAAAGTAAACGATGGAAAGATGAGGGAGGGTAGACAAAATTTCAAAGATTAGTGGACAAAAAAATTTAGAGGAATAATTGTGAAAGAAAAAGACCTGAACTGAGTAGTGACTAAGACACAATAGCCAGTTGACCTATTTACTACTAATGTTTGTTTAGTTAATTCCCACATTAATTAAACCACTATGTCTAGTGTCTCCTGGGATATAACAATATTACAGAAAAGAAAATTTAAAAATCTTTAAGAGGAAACATGTTCTAAGAAAAGACAAAATATTTTGAATTACAGAAATATTCTATACTGATCTAAAGTTCCCTTATTCCACCGAAGGTAGTTATGAGAGGAAACTTTACCACAGTGACTGAGTTCATTCTCCTGGGACTGACCAATCGTCTAGAATTACAGATTCTCTTCTTTGTGCTGTTCCTGGCCATTTACATGGTCACAGTGGTGGGGAACCTTGGCATGATCGTACTCATCCAGGTCAATGCCCGGCTCCACACACCCATGTACTTTTTCCTGAGCCACTTGTCCTTTGCGGATCTCTGCTTCTCTTCCAATGTGACTCCAAAGATGCTGGAGCTCTTCCTTTCAGAGAAGAAAACCATTTCCTATCCTGCTTGTCTGCTGCAGTGTTACCTCTTCATTGCCTTGGTCCACGTTGAAATCTACATCCTGGCTGTGATGGCCTTTGATCGGTACATGGCCATCTGCAACCCTCTGCTCTATGGCAGCAAGATGTCCAAGAGCGTGTGCACATCACTCATCACGGTGCCTTACGTGTACGGTGCGCTCACTGGACTGATGGAAACCATATGGACCTACAACCTGGCCTTCTGTGGCTCCAATGAAATCAACCACTTCTACTGTGCTGACCCACCACTGATTAAGCTGGCTTGTTCAGACACCTACAACAAAGAGTTGTCAATGTTTGTTGTGGCTGGTTTCAACTTCTCTTATTCTCTCCTTATTATCCTTATTTCCTATATCTACATATTTCCAGCCACCTTAAGGATCAGCTCTGCAGAAGGCAGACGCAAAGCTTTCTCTACGTGTGGCTCCCATCTGACAGCTGTCACCATATTCTATGCTGCTCTCTTCTTCATGTATCTCAGACCCCCCTCAGAAGAGTCCGTGGAGCAGGGGAAGATGGTGGCTGTGTTCTATACCACCGTGATCCCCATGCTCAACCCCATGATCTACAGTCTGAGGAACAAGGATGTGAAAGAGGCATTAGCCAAAGAACTGTTTAGAAGGAAATTACTTTCTAAATAAATGTCTGTATTGATTTTAGTTGTGTTTTTATTTTATATATCCAGTAAATTTCTCTTTGGGCCTAGTTCAAAACTAATCTGTCCAAATCTGTATGTTTTTCTTGAAAGAATAGGAGAATTTCAATAGAGCAGGTTTGATTAAAAAGAATCAGATTATCTAGGACAATTGATAGGAATTTTTAATTCTCCAAGAGAGTTTCGTCTGCTCAGGTTCAAATCTTAGAACTCTATATTGAAGAGTTGATTTAAAAAAAAAAAATCTTACTCATTCTTTGTATTTACTTATTTTCTAAAATTCTTTATTTCTTCCATGTCCAAGATACACAGAGAGAGACAGAAAAAGAGAGACAGTTCCGGCAACAGGGTCTTAAAACTATAATTCACCATCAACCTCAAACAGCCCTGGATCGTGGGCACACTTGTACACAGCGTTCTCAGGGAGAACCCAGAACTTTCCCATGTGGGTCAGTCTCGTAGAGCATCATGTTTTAAGACTGTGCCACTGTCCATTCCCATTTACTTTAATATATAAAACCAATGCTGTGCTTTAAAAAAATAATTTTTGCTAGACTCCAAATACTCTTGCCTAGGAAAACTGGATTCCACTTTAATTTATCCTACCTGATATGCGAGTCTTATCCCTGATCACTTACCTGTCAGCTGAGCGCCGGTCGTGGCATGTATCAACCCCACCTCTAGTCAGAAACACGCAAATGACATTGTCAGCAGTGGGCACACTTATCTTGACATGGTTCATCTCTGGCTTTTTTTCTGGACTTTAAAAGAAAAAAAGACTGCTAGGTTTTTAAACTGAGTGGTATTGAAAAAAAATCTGTGGGAAAAAAAACCACAAAGGTAATCATAAACATGCTGAATGTGTGTCTAAGTCTGTTGTGTCAGCACATACGTTGTGAAGTATAGCTCTCGGGACGAGCAATTAACGTCATGGCTATGTCTGGACTCCCATGTAGTCAACTGCAGCTCACATCCCGGACCCGGTGGCTTGAAACTCACGCCGGGCTTGTGTGCATGCGTGCCCAAGATCATGAGAGGAGCACAGAGGAGAAGGGACTGCGGGTATATAGCTCTGAGGCCAATAACACCTCTAAAAACAGGCTACAGCCTCAGAGATAATTCACAGAAATTGAGAGTCCAAAGATGAGGTGCATATGAGCTGAAAAATAGGAACAAAGATGCCCTTATGAAATTAAGATATTTGAAGGGCTACAAGTAGAGTGTCAGCAAAAATAAAAATATGAAACTAGCTCATCTAGACTTTTGGTTCACAGAGGAATTAATATCTTCTTTGAGAATTTACTCCAGACAGTAAGTTAATGCTATGTCTATTCGTGGTTTAGGTTTACACTGCTTTCATGGGTTATCAGAATAGAGGAAGAGGGGATTGTGGCATGGCCTCCTTCCCTGGGTCTGAGGAAGAGTGATTTTTCACTCCCCCCCCCCTCAAGAACTCACACACCCTATGGCAAAAACCTTAAAAAGAAAAAAAAAAAAGAAAAAAAAACCACAGAAATCAAATATAAAGCTCCCTTGGGCTTGAAAAAGCCTCATGGAACTTAAAGACGCCATCTAGAGGAAGGAACTATCAACCCTCCAGACCTCAGAAACTTCCCACGAAGTCATGGCTCATATAATTTTTCAGGGTGATATAAAGTAAAAAGCACAGGTGCATACTCTTATTTAGAATAGCTTGATGCAAATTATAAAATAAATACAACTGATTGTTTGAAATAAAGGTGAAATTTAAAACTATGATACCATGTATATTAAAACAGGTCATTAGAACAGGAGAGTAAATTATCAATCATGAATTGAAAGCAAGTAAAACAAACTTCCAAAAAATAAAGAAAACATATGAATACTAACTGTATAATATATTTAACCCCCGTTAGTATGTGGGGTTAAAAGATGAAAATGACTTACTAAAAATATAAAATTATAAAGAAAAGAGAAGTGATAGTAGTCGCAGCCTTTTAAATTTTTTTTTATTCTTAGTATTGCTTAAGATGACAGTAAAATTATTAGGTAATTTCAATTTATTAAGCTTAGGGTTGGTGGCCTCGTGGCCAATGTTACTAATGAAGACTAAACGCAGGGTGTATAGTATGAAAGTTTAAGAGAAAGAAAACAATAGATAACATATACATAGTCCTCACTATGTGACAAACAGTATTTGACAACTATGCCATGTAATATTATTGCCCAAGTTTTATACTTGGAAATATATGACAGCTCATACGTGATAACAACAAAGCAATAAGAACAACAACAACAACAACAACAACAACAACAACAAAAGAGGACCACCATATTTCAGATATTAGTGTCCTCTGGAAAAGACTTTAAAGATTATATGACTGCATCATCAGGTGTCATTGTGGTTAAGGCACTAATTATCACATGACTGACCTAGGTTTGAGTCCTAGACCTGGCGGCTTGAGAAACACGCTGGGCACATACAATTTTTCACTTTCCCTCTCTCTTTCTCTCTGTCTTTCTCCAGTAAACATGCACTTCCTTAGGCAATGAAAGCTAAAAAAAAGAAAAAAGAGGAACATAATAATTATTATATAAGTATTAATGAATAATTAATAATGCAAATTAAGTCTATTGCATTATAGTAGCTCAAAATGTTGCTCAATTATTCTGCAATCATGCTAGTCTATATTCTAGAAAGCAGAAGAAAAGATAGAAAAAAGAAAAACATAAGAAATTTTATCATAGAATTAGAATCTATTAAAATAATCAAATGGAAGTTCTAAAACTAAGAAATTATGTATCAGCAATTAACCATTTATTTAATAAATTTAAGATCAGAAAAGAGGATTAGTTAATGGGAAACTAGGTCAGTAGAACATATACAACTTGAAGTAGAAAGAGTGGGGAAAATAAATGAATGGAAATACCAAAACAAGCATCAGAGAAATGATGGCACAGCAAAATGATCTGACGTAAGTGCAGCAGATTTACAGAAAAAAAGAGAAAATGGAGGCAAAAGCAACACTTAAACATTTTTAAAGAAATGTTCAGGAAGCTAGACCCACCTGACCACCTCAGATCAAATCCTAGTCCTAGAGACATTCAGGGTGTTTGTGTGTGTGTGTAGATGCATTCCTCAAATTCTGACAGAACGGAGAAATAGAAGAGAAGGGACTAGGGCATAGCTACTCTTATTGGGGGCTGCTTTCTCCTTCTCTCCCTCTCTCTCTCTCTTTCACTCTCTCTCTCTCTGTCTCTCACTCTGTTTCTCTCTCTGGTGAGCACATGTGCTCTCTGATGACTTTAAAAAGCCGGGAAACAGCAGTTAGCATAATGGCTATGTCGCTGGACTCCCACGTAGTTGACCGCGGTTCATGTCCCGGACCCGGTGGCTTAAAACTCACGCCGGGCGCGTGTGCGTGCGTTCCCAAGATCCCGAGAGGAGAATGGAGGAGAAGGGATTGCGGCGTGACCATCCCCCCTGGGGGGAGATTTCTCACTTTCTATCTCTATGTCTCTCTCTGTCTGTCTGGTGAGCGCACGCGCCCTACAGTGAAACTCTCTCTCAAAAAAAAAAGCAAAAGCAAAACAAAACAAAACAAAAAAAACTAATGAAGATCTTTATTCACATCGATTAAAAAGATCAAAGAACCCCAAACATATAAATACGAATTATGATATTATACAAATACAAAAAAAAAAAAAAAAAACTTCATTAGTCATATGAAAGTCAAATAGCTCAAATTCAAAGAAAGTATTCAAAGAAGCCAGTGGTGGGGGCAGGGAGGTCTTTACCTTTAGAAGAGTGATGGTGAGACTAACAGTTGAATTATTTTTGTAATTTTATGACCACTTACCCATATTTGTTCTGCATCTCTCTAGCACACAATATGATTTTTCAGAGTATGCATGCAGTAAATGAAAATAAAATCAAGGATGTTGCATATACCTTGACTTGACTTTTATTTTGAAAGTCTTTCTAGACAACCTACACACAAACACACAACACAATGTAGAATTTTAGACTAGCAATTATTGGCAGTTTCACCATGAAGCAACATAATCTTCTGAAGTGCTGAAAAACAACAGTTACTAGTCTAAAATTCTACATCCTCTGTGTGTGTGTGTATGCATGTGTCTAGGAAGTCTTTCAAAATAAAAGTAAATTAGAGTTATTTTCTGTTAATTAAGAACTACAAAAACACTGGTAGACCTACACTAAATATACAAACACTTGAATTATATAATCACTTGAATTTTGACAAGTGATTATATAATTTTGCACCAGTAAAGGATAATTATTTCTCAATACAGCAATAAGATATCCACGTGGAATAAATTATTTTGTCACCCCCCCCAATCATACTATACACAACTCCAATTCTAAATGGATACATGTGGGTCAGGTTACAGGAAAGGGAAATGGCAATGGAGTCATATTCAAAATGAAGGTGTTCATGCTTCAATGTGAAGTGAATAAATATAGATTTAATGCTAATGAAAATAAGCAAGACTATGAAAGACAACCACTGTATGTCCTCACTCACTATATACCAAATGTCAACATTCTATGAAAGAAATGAAAAGATCCAAAAATATAGTGATAGGAAGGACAAGTATAAATACTAGAATCTTAAAGGGGAGAGGGTGTGTACTAGAGAGTAGGTGGAGGGGTTCAAGGAAGAAATACACAACACATTAGAATGTAAAGCCATCTGTTGTAAAGGATGTTTTATATATGCTAATAGCCTTGATTTGATCATCACATACTGCATGTATATTTTGAAAAACCATGTTGTATGTTACAGGAATGTACAACAATGTGAATAAAAGACTGCAAAGTAGAGGAGCTGGCAGGTGTCATGGTGGTTAAGGGTGCTGGACTCCCAGATGGTTGAACCACAGTTCAAACCCCAGACTTGGCAGCTTGCTTTCTCTCTTTCTCTCTCTCTCTCCTTTCTCTCTCTCTTACTCAAATTTTCCCTCTCTGGTCAGATAAATAAA